ATGAAAAAGTACCTTAAGAATACAAGGTGTACCATTGCGCATAATGGCGACTGAATACTGGAGCAACCAATCAAATTTCGCCCCTAAATGTTGCACGAGATTCAAACGCTGTACTAAGATCAAACTATTAATACTTAATAATGCTCTGAAAAACCGTATAATACAACAATATATGAAAGTAAATATGTAAAAATAATAATAAAATACTAAATGCACATTGTACATAATATATGTTATTTTATTCTAGTAAATACATTTTAAATGATTTTACTACATATCACTGCTACAATTATAATATATTTTATTTTAATATCTTTATACAGTAGTGGTCAAATTGCAAACTAACGAATGTTTAATTAATTATATCAACTTTACCCGCATCAACTTTTATATTTGTTTCTGTCTGTTGACTGGCAATGAGCCATTGCTGACGAATAATTTCGTCCTTAGGAAATCGAAAATATTTTACATTTTTCGATTTGTTGCCAGACGTACGACTAGTACAATATTTTACACAGCACGCTGGCATTTCTGCAAACTACTTATAAAATATATTGAACAAAACTAAACTAAATGAATAAACGATATTTAAATTAAAAAACGATATTAAACAAAACTAAACTAAATGAATAAACGATATTCAAACGATATTTTAATTAAAAAACGATATTAAACAAAACTAAACTAAATGAATAAACGATATTCAAACGATATTTTAATTAAAACACAATATTCAATATCAATATAGTTTGACAGCTAGTCAGCTATGCTGCAATGATACGCGGTCACGTGGAAGAAGCCATGTCACTTCTTAGCATTTGAGGGCGAACTCTGATTGGTTGAAGAGCAGAACTACTGCGCATCCTCGGGAATGTGTATATTGTAACCGAACACCGGTCTGTTCGACAAGCCCGGCTATTCGTTCGTTCCCATTGTCCGGTCGCCACGTCTTTTGACCCGCCAAAGACGAAGGTGATTCGAAAGAATTAACCATCCTCGCTTTTATGTGAAGGTCGCCCGCTTCCTCTTAATTGAATGTTACCGACTCTCTCTCTTTGAGCTCACCGTAATTTCGCGGGAGATAGGAAAATGCAGAGATTTCACTAAATACGCATCACAACTCACTTTAATAAATGAACCATATAAATGTATTTAAAATTATTCACATCTTAAGTGCATCGTACTATCATTCTAATACATCGTCATATATCAGTATATCTAAGAATAATAGGCTCGTGCCGTGTCCTCCGTTTACAAAGATAATACGCGTCCCGTCACCTACACGTTTTGTTTGCTCATTCGAAAGCGCTTCGTGTTCCGCTCGAGGTTTCTCTTTACTCGCGTTTTATCTAACAATTATTCACTTTAAACTTATTACTCGTTATATCTGCAACATGCTTCTATATTCATCTTAATAACACGATATTCCTAAACGCGCGCGTCGAATCACACAGTCGTATTATTCGTTATCTATTCATTATCACATCAGCATAAATATATATATATTCTTTTATTAAATTCGTACTATCTTTCGCTATAGATATACCTTTTGATATCACCTTACGTAGTATCTTCGGAGAATACCATGGAGAAACGTCCGCTTTCATGCGTGGCCAAATTACGACTCCCCTATTCCCAATATGCGTACGCGCGACGCTTACGCATTTTTGCGCCTGCGTACTAGCGAACTCCCTGTACTTGATTTTCATTATACGCAGTCTACAATATTTTATATCTCTATATAATTTGACTAAATAATCGTGGGCGTTCACAATTATATATGTATTCAATTGCTATTTGGCGCATGCATTACTTTCCTTGTTTCACATCGATCCACCGATTGACTTTTCTAGTTAATGCTGAACAATTGGTTAACAATTGTGGGGCTTCCACAATTTTGGATGGATCGAGGTTAAACTTTACATACACGTTCCCTGCACTGACTATTGTTGAATGACCGAGTCGTAAATCTTTAGCTTAACAATATTTCCATTCAACCATTGTGGGCTTCCACGATTTTGAATATATTCAACTAACATTTAGTATACGTACTTCTTACGTTCCCTACTCTAGCTTAACCATAGCCCATTATGCATTTTTGCAAAACGAATAATTGGCAATTGTGGGGCTTCCACAATTCTGCACGAATCTTTACAATATTTGGCATACATACTCCTTGCATTGCCTATTATCTATTAACCGCGTCATATTTTGCAATTATACAAAATGGATAATTAACAATTGTGGGGCTTCCACAATTTTCATTGAATTTATTTTAAACTTAGCACACATACTTTTCACTAAGCCTATTAACCGTTGACCGCAGTATAATTTTACAATTCCACAAAATTGTTAATTAACAATTGTGGGGCTTCCACAATTGTGTATGGATTCACTCAAAACTTGACACGCGTACTCTTTACTCTGTCTATTTTCAATTTACCACGTTATAATTTGTATATAACCCAAACTTTTAATTAACAACTCTGGGGCTGTTTTTACAACAATCGTATCTGCTTAAAAGCTGGCATACATACATATTACGTTACCCATGTTACTTTGACCACGGTATATTTTCTTATTTCATAAAGCAATAAACTAACAATTGAAATATTGTCATGGTTTTGAATGAGTTCATCTTACATTTGGCCTGCGTATTTCTTACGTTGCTTAGTTATGATCAACCGCTATGCTTTCTCCGCTTTCAATCAATCTAGCGAATTATTCATTGTGGGGCTTGCGCAATTCTTAATGAATCCATTTGAAACTTTGCGCCCGCACTTTCCGCGTTACTCTCAATCAATTACCCGAGCTACTTTTTCCTAAACTATAATCTTTAAATTAACAATTGTGGGGCTTCCACAATTGTGAAGCAATACAAAAGAGATTTTAACAACGCGCTTCCCGCGCTATCTATGAACATTTAACCATCTTACATTTTGCGATTTTGCAAAACGTAGGTTATCACAAAACTAAACTTTCTTTCGGGCATTCGGCCCGTTCTATGTAAATAAACGAATTTTCTCCTTTGACCTTCTGTCCTATACGATCGTGCACGCTTCGCGCGTTCAAAACAAAATTACTTAAGAAAGACAAGAAAGAACACAAAAAAAAAACTGTGAGCTCGTTTATCCCTCACTCTAGAAAAAAAAAACTTAACTTTCTTTTCTTAAACTATTTTTACTTATTCTAACCTTAAGCCTAATTTTTATATAATCCTATCCATTATGCTGCATGTCGCCGCTGCGACCTTTACAGCGCGAGTTGCGCCGGGCCCGCTCCGCGGAACCGGTCGCAATATACACCTTGTATTCTTATATCATGAGTTGGCGAGTCTCTCCTT